GTTCCTGTATCCCCACAGCCTCATTAACATTCAACACATCATAGTAATATAAGAAACCAGGTTAAGAAAAACAACAACGATGAACCAAAAACATAACCTAGCATTGTAGAAAACCCACACTCCCTTCCACTTCCTGGAGGCAATTGGTCCCACTTAATTTCTACCTTCAGTTTTTCTAGTGGTTACTTTTATTTATCTGAATAATATTTTTGATATTATTTAAGATAAATAATTCTTATCACAAAAAAATAAGTGTCCTTTCATGCCTAGTTTAAAAAATTCCCATTAGGATTTCTTAGAGAAATTGTCAACCTATTGACATAGTTCCTTGATAGTAACAATTCCTTAATCTTAAAACATCTTGGATTTCTTAAATATAGTCTACAGGATGTGATGGCTAAGTCATTTAATGCACTTGCAAGTTTAATTTTCTGCTTGATATTAAGAAATACTGTTATATTATTGCTCTAAGTAATCCTACTATATCCCTGAGAGTGACTTGGAAAACCCAAAGCATGTGATCCTCAGTATTAATCAGGGTTAGCAAACTATGGTTTGTCACCTATTTTTGTATGTCCTGACAGCTTTTGAGAGTAGTTACATTTTTAGATGGTTGAAAAAAAATTTTTTGGGGGAATAATATTTCATGACCTATGAAAAGCATATGCAATTCAAACTCAATGTCCATAAATTTTGGGGGGACACGACCACGCTTATTTGTTTACAAGTTATCTATGGCTGCCTTTTCGCTCCAACCAGGGAGTTGAATCATGGCAACAGACATCATATGGCCCACAGAACTGAAAATATTTACCATCTGTTCCTTTACATAAAAACTTTGCCAACGCCTGGTAGAAATGATTCAGTCAACAAAACTTTGTGGAGAAAATACTAGTAACAGATGTGCTGTTCTGCTCTGGGTGTTTACTGTCCTGCTAGGGAGACACCCACAACCCAACATGACAAGTGCTGAATGGGGCAGCATAGGGGCATCCAGGGGGATAGAGCAGAGGCCTCTGAGCCACACTAGGGAGATCAGGGAAAGCTTCCCAGAGCTGGTAATGTCCAAGCAGAGACCTGCAGAGTGAGAAGGAGCAGGTCGTGTGAAGATGGATGAGGGCAGGTAGCAGGAAGAATGTTCTGGGCAAAGAGAACAGCATGTCCAGTGGCCTGAGGGATCAGTTCCTATTGGAGGAACTGGGAGATAGGATCATTTGCATGACTGAGGAGTGAGGAGCTGGGGTTTCGGTACAGCTCTGTCCAGTGTCAAAGCTAGGCTATCATGATGGTCACCTGAGTTACCCACTTCGAGTGGAGACCCAGAAACAACTGAGGAGGAGGAGATTCTGGGAGTCACTGGGAGGAGTCAGGGGAGTGTGGGTGGGGATTGAGATTCATTGAGCACTTTAGCCACAAGACCTAAATTCAGTCATTTTGCATGCGAACCAAAAGAATGTTCTGAGACTATTTTCTGGTCGGGGGACTTTGGTCCTCAGCCCTCCCCTGGCTTGGGAAAGAATGAGGTCACAATCTTTCAGATATCTCTCACTGTGAAGGAAGAAGACATCTCTCCAGGAAGCTCAGCAGGTGGGAGGCCCAAACTCAGGATAGGCTGGACCTTGAACTGGTGGATTCCAGGCAGAGGGTGTGGCCCTGGCAAGGAGAGTGTGTTTGCACTCTTGATCTTTGCTCCTGCAAGTCACCAAAGGCACTCTGTTTCCATAATGCAAATTATCTTGCCAGGCTGGGGGCAGATTTCTGGGAACTGGAGTTCCAAGCAGACAGGTTTAATTGTCTCATGTGAAAATTCTCCTTCTCTTAAATATGTCACTCAGAATTGCTCTACCTAGGGCTGCTGAGACTTGGGGCTCTCTCTTGTTCTCACCCCTCTTATTGTGATACCTGCCTTTTCACTTAAGACCAGGTTTATCTTCTGTGTCCCTGTGTTACATACCCAGGCCACACAAGAGGGTTAATAGTCTTCTTTTTTTTTTTTTATTGTAGTCAGTTGACAATGTTGTGTCAATTTCTGGTGTACAGCACAATACTTCAGTCATATAGGAACATACATATATTTGTTTTTATATTCTTTTTAGCCATAAGTTATTACAAGATATTGAATATAGTTTCCTATGCTATACAGTATAAACTTATTGTTTATTTTATATATAGTAGTTAGTATCCACAAATCTCGAACTCCCTGTTTATCCTTTCCCACCCTTTCCTGCGCTGGTAACCATAAGTTTGTTTACTGTCTGTGAGTCTGTTTCCATTTTGTACGTAATGTTGTCTTTTTTTTTTTTTTAAGATTCCAAATATAAGTAATATCATAGGGTATTTTTCTTTCTCTTTTTGGCTTACTTTACGTAAATAGTCTTTCTAAACAAACAAATATACAGACTCTTGGGGGAAAAAATTATCCATTTTGGGAATATACCACCGTTTATTTACTCTTCTTATTGTCATGGGGCATTTGAGTCATTTCAAGTTCTTGAGTTTCTGGCTATTATATGTGATGCTGATATAAACAATCTTTTAGTGTTGTTTTGAGGGAGGTTGTGCCTGCATTTCTGTTGTGTGTGTATCTAGGGGTGGAGGTGCTGGGTCACAGGCTAGGTGTCTCTTCAGCTTTACTAAACATTGCCACTCAATTTTCCAAAGTAGCTATACCATTTTCCACTCCCACCAGCAGTATATGAGAGGTCTGGTTGCCCCATAGCCTCTCTGACACTTGATATTGTCAATCTGAAAATTTACAACTACAGCTGCACACAGCAAGCATATGGCTGAATCTCACAAACATGAAATAGAGTGAGAAAAAAAAAACCAGAGATAAAAGAAAACATGCAGTCTAATTCCCATTCATATAAGTCCCCCAAACAGGCAAAATAATCTAAGCTGTGAAGTCAGGACAGTGGTACCCATGAGAAGCATGAAGGGGTTTCTAGGGTGCTGGTGATGTTCCGCATCTTAATCTGGGTGCTGGGTACACACATTTATTCCCTTTCTGAAAATTCATCAAGCTGTGTAGTTGTGATTCATGCACTTTTCTGTATGTTATATTGGAATTAAAAATTCAAAAAATATTCTCTCTCAGTCTCTCTCTCCCCCTTCCTCTGTCATCTTTCCTCACGGCATGTGGGTGGGAGCTGTCCTCATCAGAGTCCCATTCGAGGCCACGCGACCTGTATTGCTTCAGCACTTAGAAGGGCTTGCGATTGGTTTCATGGTCTGTGGTCTCTGTCTTTTTGAAATCCTCAACACTTTTTCAACTTAGGACTCTCTGCATTTGTCACTGGGACTTACACATCGTGTCACCACCCTATGGTGCCACAGGCAGCTGCCAGTGTCTCTCCACAGATCCTCACCCAAGGCTTGGTCTTTGACAGGCACTGAGGACAGGGCTGGGTTCGCCCCTCTGCCTGATTAGAGAAGGTCCGAATGCCCGTGATGGCTCCCCTCCTGTGAGAACCTGAGATTGTACTTTTCTGCAGATGGAATTACTGGGTCAGAGGATAGTTTCCCGCACAATGTCCCGCTTGGCTGTCTGCCCCTGTGCTTCCATCTGCCTTTAAAAAAAATTGTGATGAAATATACATAACATACAATTGACCATCTTAACCATTTTTAAGTGTATAGCTCAGTGGCATTAAGTACATTTACATTGTTATACAATCATCTCCACCATCCCTCTCTAGAACTTTTTCATCTTCTCAAAGTGATACTCCGTACCCATGAAACAATAACTCCCCATTCCCTTCCACCTGATTTTATGATTTTTTTCTGTATGTCTCTTTCCAACTACACTACGAACTCCATGAGGGTGGGGGTTGGGGAACACTAATTCACCTCTGAATAAGGAGGAGCATGTATGATGCGCACAGGGCTTGGAGGAGATGGCTAAGAAAACAGTTTTGTTAAATAAATAAAAATATGAGATATAATTTAACCCTTGTTTGAAGCCTGGGCTGGTTCTTGGGCTAATAAATTCTCTAAATTCAGTGTTGAGTCAGTGCCCAGCACATAGCTGGATCCAAAACCTTTTTGCTGACAGTATGAATAAAGCCTTAATAACTCTGCTACTGATAATAAAATATTGGCCCTTAATCAATACAGAAAGGACCTAGGAAAGTGCCTGGCAGTCAATACATTTTCTTCTTTTCTTTGTGAGCATTATCACATTTCACCCTACATCACCCTCTAAGGTGGCCACTCAGTTTCTGAGTGAGAAACAAACTCAGAGATGTTGTATCCCCTGCTGGAGGTCACACAGCTGGCAGATGGTTCCAGGGCTGGGAGACTTTAAAGCTCAGTGCTTTCAATATTTACTTTGTAATGCCTCCCTGTGTCAATCAACTTAAACAGGATTTCTGACATTTTTTGAATAAAACTAGTTTTTCTTTTCTGGTTACAAACAGGTATAAATTCTCTTTTTTTTAAAAAAAATTCAAGCACTACAGAAAGTGTAAAAAAACTTCTTAGAATGTTCTGTCAAGATTCATGGCGACCCTACCCAGGGATAGCAGGATTTGAAAAACATACCCCTCAGCAACTCCTTCTGAACTTTGTCTTCAGGTCAAGGAATGTCTGTATTGCATTCAGTGACCTTTCCTTCTGAGTTCTTCCCTCTTCAGTTCTTAGGAGAGAACTGAGGAGAGTGTACAGGTGCTAAAACTAGCCCCTCCCACCCCCTTGTGTTTCCCGTAAGGGCTTGTTTTCTAGCCCATGGACTGGCCTTCCTCCAGCCAGGCCTAAGGTTGTTTTCTGAGCGCTGGTTTCTTGTTGGGGTTTAGGTGTAATAAGGAAGTTGTCAAGTGAAACTATTTTTCTCCAGGGAAGCTGAGGTAAGCCTCCTATCGCTGGGAGAGAGGGAAGCAGCCCTGGGATAGGATGATGGGGTGGTAGGGGCGGCCCCTGCACTGGCTGCCCATGCGCTCACCTCCTGGGAGAAAGGATATATATTACTCTGACCAAAGCATCTTCTGAGACAGTCTGGAAACTGGCAGCACCTTCACCCTGAGACAGCTGGGCCTACTCCCCCTCACTGGATACAGCTTCCAGCAGACAGAGAGTAGTGCCTAGACGCTGCAAGCGGGTACCCGATACAGAGCTCCCGGGTCGGGAGATCCCATCTGAAAGTGTCCTGGGACAGGAGCGACTCTCGTGGTCTGAGGTTGGTTGAATGACACTCTCTCCTTAGCAGGCTGGAGTAGTGGGTAGGTATCTTGGAGTCCTGATAGGAGGGTAGACCCTGAGTTCAGTCTCAACGCTGCATCTAGCTTGCTGGACTTCAGGCTCTTCATCTCTAGAAAGCTAGAAAGTTCAATGATGTGATCTTGACCTGGTGTCATGCAAAAACTCTGAACTAACTTGGAGTTACAAGCTCTGAACTCAGGTCCCAGCCCTGCTGCTTACTAGCTCAGCAATCCTGAGCAAAGATCTTCACTTCCTTGGGCCTCAGTTTCCTCATCTGTAGAATGGAGGCAGCGTTACATTCCTCTCCTGCTCATTTCCCTACTGGATGTTGTAGAAGTCAAGTTATAGACTTTATGTGATGGTACATAGTAAAGGGAAACCACATAAATGGAGGTGTTGTTATTACCTATGGCTATTATATATTATGTTATCACCTATGGTTCTATCATTTTAAGGTTCTTGTAAGCTAGACCAGGGACAAGGAGATCTTATGAAAAGAGTTCTGGTGGCTTGCTGTTCTGACAGGGATCTGAGGAGGGATCATAACATTGCATGGCCTGTGGTCTTAGATAGAGGACTGGACGGGGTCGGGAAGAGGTGGGGGCACATGCAGAGCACAAACTCTAGTGTTGGATGGAGGGGAGCCGTGTTCGTCTTTGGAGTCCTCCAGCTTTGCAAGTAATGACCTCACTGGCCCCACAAGTTGACCCCACTGCTGTATCACAGGGCCTGAGATTCCACCACTAGGGAGTTCATTCTTTTGGGTTTCAAAAGATCCTCAAAAGATGCAAATCCCTGACCTTTTGGAAAATAGGCACTAGGGGATGTGTGTTTGATGGTGACAATGAGGATCAGCAGATGGCCCAAGCCAGCCCTTTACACTGAGCTGTGGGTTGGCCCAGGCATAGTTGATACCCTCAGTGGCACAAAGTGGCTGTTAAGATGCCTCTGTGATCTGAAGTTTTGTACAAAGATCCTATTGGGCTCTGCTGTGACTCGAGGCCCCTGTCCAGGACTGGCCTCACCCTATTAATTAATTAATTAATTAATTAGTTTAGAAACTGGGGATTGAACCCAGGACCTTGTGCATGCTAAGCACACGTTCTACCACTGAACTATACCCTCCCCACTGGCCTCATGTTTTGAAGTGAAGAGGGACCAGCTGAGGAGTACCCAGGGATGGGTGCCCAGGCAGGGGACTGGTCCAGAAGCAGTGTGACTTGGGGAACCACCTAGACACATGGGCCTTTGGGTGATGAACTGAAACAGAGAGTACTTAGGAAGTGAGGTGACCTCTCCTCAGGTGTGAAGGACTGCTGCCTGCCGTGTCAGCTCAGTCTAAGGAGGACTGTCTTTAATTCTCAGTAGCCAGCAGTGGGATGTTCTGGCTTGAAAGTGGTGAGTTCCAACTGCAGCAAGTGTTCCAACAGGGGGTGCTAGTCTGCCTGTCGGGAATGCGGCACAGAGGAGTCCTGCCGTACAGGAGGTGGGCTGGATACTTCTCAGGTCCCTCGAGCCATCTCAGGAACCCAGGCGAAAGGCTTTGGGCTTGAACAGGCACTCACTTTTGGGGTTCAGAATGTCCATGGGGCCACCTGTGCTGATGAGACGTGAACATGAGCTCAGGGTGCAGCCCTTGACCCTCCAGCCGCCTGACTGGCTTCCAGCCAAGAGGTCTGTGAGCCCCACCCTATGACACCTTGCCTCTGGGACATAAGTGTCAATACCTGGGCACATGTGAATGTGTGACTCCATGCATAGGTCACGGAAGGCACGTGTGTGGACGTGATGATCTCTGGCGGTATGAGACAGCAGATTTGCTCACCTCTAAGTGCGTGTGTGTCTGTGTGTGTTTATGGGAGGCCACTTAACTTCCGAGAGAGAAGAAAGAATTTAGAATCCAGAGAAGCCCCACCTCTGTCCCCTTCCTGGCTATGGGACCCTGGGCAAGCAGAGCCTCAGTTCCCCACTGCCAGCCCAGCCAGGGCTGTGGCCAAGTTGACCTGAGATCATGGAAATAAAGGGTTGCTGTGTGGCAGCTTGCAGGTGAGCTGGTTGTGTCTGCACATATCTGTGTATCGTTTATTCGTTCCTCAAACACTGAGAGCCTCCCAGGCAGCGTGGACACAGCAGGAACCAGGCAGGCTCAGGCCCTTTCTCTGGAACTTGGAGTTAGACAGGGAGGGCAGACAACAAATTAGATACTCAGATAATTATCCCCTTTACACATGGGGTGGGAAATTCCAGGGTGTTGTGAGTCCTTGTAAGTTTACAGTGAATGTGAGCATGTTTCTCGGTCACATGAGTGTCTTAGCCCGTTTGGGCTGTGATCACAAACTACCGTAGATTGGGTAAATTTACTTCTCACAGTTCTGGGGCCTGGAAGTCCAAGACTCAGGTACCTACAGTTTCAATGTCTGGCGAGGGCTTCCTGGTTCATGGACCAGGCCTCTATGTCCTCACATGGTGGAAGGGGTGAGGGAGCCCTTTGGGGTCTCTTTTATAAAGGTGCTAATCCCATTCATGAGGGCTCTGTTCTCATGATGTAATCACCCCAAGGGCCCCACCTTCTAATTACATTGCACTGGGGACTAGGTTTCAACGTATGAATTGGAGGGGTACACAAACCTTCAGTCTATAGCAATGAGTGTGTGTGGGTGTGACTCTCGTCCACAGACACTCTCCCTTGGAATAGCCAGCTGTTTGTTGAATATTGTGCAAAGTCCAGGGGTGGAGAAGGGGAGCAAGAGACTGCACCAGAGCAGTTACAGAGTAACGTTGTAATGTTCCAGGAGCATGAATTAGAGAATGGTGTATACATGAGGTCAGTGTATAATCTAGAAAATAAACCCAAAATGGCAGCATGCTTGTGAAAAACTGGCAAACTTCCTGCTCCGCAATAACTCAAGGTCAACTCTATACATTTTCTCTGGTGGTTATTGTCGTTTTTAAACATGTCACCGGTGTACGTCATATCTTATCAGAAGTCCTGTGATCTGCAGGTCACTTGGGTATTTCTGAGCAGGTTTGAACTTTGTTCTGAAACCCACTTTCTGCCAAGGCAATCAACAAGTTTACAAGAGCAGCTTGGTTTCCATGCAGTGAAGGTTTGCTGCTTTCTAGGGGTTACTGTCTGGAAGCACGTCCCAGATAGGGTGGGATTCCCCAACAGGCAGAACCTGGGTGAAGCCCCAGGTAAAGCAGGGGCACAAAACAAGAAAAAAGAGGAAGGAAGGAGAAAATCTTGCTTTGATGAATTCTGGACAGGCAGAATTTTACAATCAGAAAGTCTGGAAAGATCTGATTTCAGCACACATCAAATTTATGTGCCTATGTAGGTATGAGGGGGAGGTAATATTAAAACAGTCTTTTCAGGGTTTAGAGACTTTAAAAGTCTGGGGATATATCTGCCCCAGAGAGGATCTTCTAGGGTGTCTCTGGGGGTGGGTGGGTTTGCCCTCCTAGGCCAGCCACCCTCTCTCAATCCCTGGGCCTAGCACTGGAAGGCAGACTCTTTGGAACATTACAGAGGAGGAGCCGCTGGGGAGGCCAGAGAGGTAGGAGGAGAGCCGAGCTGAGCTCCATCACAGCTGCCGAGAGAGGAGAGATCTGCAGGAAGATGGAAGTGGACATGGTATCAAAAGCTTTAGCACCTTGAGGGAGGATGAGGAATGGGAAGAGGCCACTGGATTTGAAGTTGAGAGGCCTGGGAAGATTGTGGAGACTCTTCACTGGGGAAACACTCTTGGATGGCCATGGTCACACATCACCCACCCCGCCTCTCCCTGCCTCTGGGGCTGCCGCAGCTGCTCCTCTTGGTTTTCTTCACCTCCCTCTGGGCTCAGGGCACTGTTCCAGGGAGAGGTTGGCCAAATCAAGGCAGTTTTCTTGAAAAAACATGGTGAAGGGAAACCAGTGCCTGGTGGAGTTGTATCGATGCTCTGATTAGAAGTAGCAGTGTGTCCTTTGAATGAGGTAGGAGGACACTATGACCATCAGCCATGGTGAAAACCATTTCCATAGCAATGACAGCTTTTTAAAAGATTACTGTGCCTCTTTTCTCATTAGCTGGGGAAAAATGCTCTTGCCCTCTGTGCAGCGTGCCCCCTGGAGCCAAGTTAGCACAGGAAGAAGAGGGGCTGAGCTGAGCAAACGTGTCCTGTGCGTTTGGCTGGTTTGGTGGTTCTGTTGCCGAACAGCTTCTCTGCCAACCTCATCCAGTTTGCCCTGACCACAGGAGCATACGGAATAACCAAGCAGTGAATATTTCTGGCTCAGCTTACTTGTATCTTAAAATCAAATTTTAAGATCGACCTAAATTTGTCTTCTCTTGAGACCCTATGCCACTAAAGAGAGAGCAACTGTCAGGGGAACAGAGCATTACTGTCACCACCACCTGCTCACACCCCTACTCCCACCCATTTGAAGCCCAGAGCATTCTCTTTGAGGGTACAACCTGTATCTTGTCCATTATCATATCCCTGGCACTGAGCATACTTTCTGGTGCATAGTGAGTGCTTATTAAATGTTTGTTGGAAGAAATAAATGAGAAGAAAGAAAAAATATTTTCTTCTATGATTTCTTCTCCTTATCCCACTTAGCCACATTTCGGAAGCACAACCATAAGGCAGCCTCTGAGGCTTTCGAAAACAATAGTCAATTTTCATATAAAATACAGATGTGTGTTACTACAAGTGTTCATATAACTCAGATGTTTCTTTAAGGAACACTAGACAACAAATAAAGCCTTCCAAATTGCCTGCTTCTTCGTTTTCTCATTTCCTCCAATACTGTCCACGTGTGGACACCCAGCAGTGCTGCCGATACCCGATAGCTTCTGGCCATCCTCCCTAGTCCTTCCTGCCCAGACCTGTGCTTAAAGGAAGGAAGGCATCTGGACTGTTACTGTCACCTTCGAAGCTCTCTGTATCTCCCCAGACCTTTCATTCTCTCTCTTTACGTATCTTCCTCACATTCGCATGGATCCCTGCACATCTGAAATTGCAATTCTACATTCTTATTTTTGCCTCTAAGCTGGAAAGAGTAATAAAGTACATTTTCATGTAATGAATCAGTTGGTAAATGCAAGAGATATAATGTAAATACAGAAATACTTAATACACTAAATAATACTCAGTAAATGCATGACGAGGCTATAATTACAAATTAGAGTAGGCAATCCATAAATCTAAACACTGGAATAGGGGTTTAGAGTTATGGAATCTCTGGGAGCTCAGGGTTTAAGATTCAAGACTATATTTTATTTTTCCCTTATAATATATATTATTGAAGTATAGTCAGTTTATAATGCTGTGTCAATTGCTGGTGTTCCGCACAATGCTTCAGTCATATATGAACATACATATATTTGTTTTCATATTCTTTTTCACCATAAATTACAGAATACAAGATTTTGAATATAGTTCCTTGTGTTATATAGTATGAACTTGTTGTTTATCTATTTTATACAGTACTTAGTATCTGCAAATCTCAAACTTCCAATCTATCCCTTCCCACCCTCTTCCCTCCTGGTAACCATCAGTTTGCTTTCTATGTCTGTAAGTCTGTTTCTGTTTTGTAAATAAGTTCACTTGTCCTTTTTTTTTTTAGATTCCACATATAAGTGATATCATATGGTATTTTTCTTTCTCTTTCTATTTTCCTCTTAACTTCCACCAAAGGGCAAAGGGTTTCTGAACAACTTTGGAAAAATTGGAAAGCCCTGGGAGTTTCAGGTTAAAGACACACAAGTCAAGTGCACGACCCACACCCTGGCCTGCTTAAAATGCTGCCCACGAGGAGGGTGTTCTTTTGTCTTTTCCATGGGCAGCTGCTTCATTCTGGATGGAGAACAAAAGGGTCCCTGTTGCTTTAAGATGGAACTGGTCCAAATACATTTGTTGTACATTAACTACACATCTTTAGGTATTGTACAGTCTACTAAGCGTTTGTGTTATACATTTATTCCTTTGTTTAACAAGTACTTACTCAGAGCCAATGGTGGGTCGGCCTTGTTCTAGGTACTCAGGATACAAGACCTAGCGAAACAGACAAAAAGGAGGAAAAGAGGCTCAGACGTTAAACCACTAAACACATAAAGATATGATATTTCTTAACACCGGCAGTGAGGTAAAGGGGGAGAGGGTGTGCTAATGGGGGTGCCCTGGGAGGGCCTCTACGGGAAGGTGACTTTTTAAAAGAATGAAGTTGAGTTGATTTACAATGTTGTGTTAGTTTCATGTGTACAGCAAAGTGATTCAGTTATATATATATATTCTTTTTCAGATTATTTTCCATTATAGGTTATTACAAGATATTGAATATATTTCCCTGAGCTATATAGTAGGTCCTTATTGTTTGTCTATTTTATATATAGTAGTGTGTTAATCCCGAACTTGGGAAGGTGACATTTGAGCAGAGGTCTGAAGGAAGTGAAGGAACAAATCACAGGGAGGTCTAGTGCAAGATGTTCTAGAAAGAGAGAAGAGCCAATATGAAGGCCCTGAGGTGGAGAAGGCCTGGAGGACAGTGAGCAGGGCTGCATGAGGGGGTGGAGTGGGGTGAGTGAGAGGGGACTAGGGAGGTGATGGGGCCAGGTGGGTAGGACCTTGCAGCCATAAAGACTCTGACCTTGGGTCACTGGCAGCAGGAGAGTGTCAGGCTCTAACTTGCATAGTGAGCACCTGTGGCTGCTAAGGGGGAAGTTACTGGAAGGAGGACAAGAGTAGAGCAGAGAGACCAGTTAGGAGGTGACTGCAAGGGTCCAGGTGAGCAGAGTCAGGGCCTAGACTTGGGTGGCGGTGGAGAAGGTGGGGAGACGTGGTTCAGGTCCTGATGTGCTTTCAAAGTGGAGCCAACAGCCTTTACTGATGGATCAGATGTGGGGAGTGAGAGAAAGAGACAAAGGAGTTGGGGTGACTTCAAATGTTTGGTCTGAGCAATTGGGAGAACAGAGTTACCATTTACCAAGCTGTCTTGTGAACGATTCTTAATAGTTTGTGAGACAGACAGGCAGGTCTCAGGCATGTTTCAGATGAAGATACTGGGCCAGAAAAGCCATAGGAGCTGCCCACAGCCATGAGGGGCAGGACGTGGCCTCTGGTTCCAGCTGTAATCGTTGCCTACTGCTGCTGTAACCACGTACCACAAAGTCAGTGGCTTTGTAACAACGTGAATTAATTATCTTACAGTTCTGGAGGTCAGATGGCCACAGTCCGTCTGTATGGACAAGAACCAAGGTGTTGGCAGGGCTGTGTTCCTTTTGGAGGCTCTGGGGGAGCTATGGGTTCACTGCACAATCTGGGGCACGACCTTTCGTGGTTTAGTTTCTTCCTCTGAAAATCGGGAACCAAGATACCCCTCCCTCCCAGGGTTGCTGCAGAACTTAAACGAGACAACAGCTTTGAGAGTTGATGTTACTCACTTTAACGGGTAGGTCGGATGGGTGCGCCAGTCAGCACTGCTAGCTCACCTCAGCAGTCTCCGAGGCCTCTTCTAAGGGAGCTGTCTGTTTTGGTTGCAGTGCAATGGAACCTCTGCAGGGAACGAAAAAGCTTCTGTCAGGGAGGAGAGCCAGGTCTCTGGACAGGCCGCAGAACCCCAGGAAGGATTCAGAGTCGTGGGACTGCCAGTGCCTTTCCTTGCCCACCACCCCCTCCAGGAGGATGCTTTGCCGGACAGCCAGTGATGGGACCAGATGTCCTAAGAGCCCAGCTCAGTCTGTGGAGGCTCAGGGCATCACGGCCACAGCCCTCAGCCCAGAGGAGACCAAGGAGTTTCTCCCCAGTGAACAGGGGCCCCCACAGGACACCAAGAAGGACAAGGCCCAGTGGCGGCCCCAGCAGGGGTGGCTGAGGACCATGATAAACTTCTTCCTCGGTTCAGGCCCTGAGGAGCCCAAGGAGAAGGCCAGCAAGAAGGAGAAGGGGAAGGAGGGCCTCCCGCCCACAGAAACCCCCGAGGCCCTGGGGGAGCCAGCTCCCAGGAAGAAATCTCAAAAGAAGGCCAGCCGCAAGAAATACGGTCACAAGAAACATGGTGCTGAGGAAACCAAGGGGGCCCAAGATCAGGAGGCCGGAGGGCAAGAGGCCAACATGGCTGCTGCCTCACACTGCGAACAGGCCGACTTGGGCCCAGCAGCTGGGGGTGAGCAGATGCCTGTTTTTATGGTAACCCCAGCGCTCCCCCCCACCCTGCCAAGGGCTAGAGTGCTCTGAGCTGGCTCCTCAAACCTCTCAAAGGAGGGCATGTGGAAGGTGGGTCACTGTCAGGGACACCACTACAGTGAAGCTTCTCTGAGGTATAACAGCACCACGGCTGAGAGCTTGAGGTCAAACCCCAGTTCCACCACTCACTGGCTGTGTGACCTGGGGCTAGCTTGACTTTTGTTTCTGAAAGGATACAATGATACAATAGAGATCCTAGCAGTGGCTGTCTCATGGCGGGGCTGTGGCCCAGAGCTGGCACATGGGACGTGCTCCATAAATGATAACTGCTATCGTTAAGTACTCTGGTTCAAGGAGCATGGACAAGGGAGAAATAGAAAGGCAGGGAGGAGGCAAAGAGGGAAGCCCTAGCTCAACATTAGTTTATATATGAGGACTGGTGGTGGTTGACAGGGAAGTAGAAAGGGCCGGCTGCTGGGGTGCTGATTCTAGACTTGGCTCCATTGGGAATAAACTTGCTGTGTGACCTAGTGCAAGCTGCTGCCCCTCTCTGGAATTAATTATTTGCAAAATAAGGGAGCTGGTCCCTAAGATGCCTTCCTTTTCTAATGCTTAGCATCTTGGAGTTGAATGTCCTACAGGCAGCTGGAGGAAGATAGAACTTTGCCCTGTAGAACTCAAAACTCACCATGTTTTTAACAGGGAGGCGAGACCAAAGGAAGATTCAGGATATTTTGGGGAGTGGAGAGAAGGATGTCCAGGCTGAGGCAGCCTCTTTTCAAATGGAAACCTTGGTGTGTTTCTGATTTTTTGATTATGAATGTCACTGATACCCACACATTCTCGCTTTCATCTTTATTCCAGGTGAGGAAGTTTCTGATCTCCACCAGTCCTTGCTCCTCAAAGGCAGGGGTGCTGGCATCCGGGAAGTTTCTTCCAAAGCCACAGGTCACCAGTGGGAAGAGGAGCTTAAAAAGCCTGACAGTGAGTCAGAATCTGCTTAGTGGCCTCTTTGTCTGCAGCTGGGGGGCAGACATTCCCAAACGAGATGGATTGCTCTGGATGACTGCTTACACTTTGGATGGTGGTTCTCAAAATGCATGTGCTGATCTCCCCCTTCTGGTGCTCTGGTCACGTTTATGTTAGAGTTTCACAGAAGGGAGCCTCAGGAACTAGAGTGGCTGCTGGCAAATGCTCCTGCCTTGTGTGTTAATGAGCATGGGACTTTTTTTATATATAAAGAATATAGTACATATACACACACATATATACATACATATTTAAAAATATAAAGAGTGGAAAGGATAGTTCTACACACACTCACAATTGTTAAAAGTTGGCCATATTTGCTTTGTGTGTGTGTGTGTGTATAGTTTTGTTACTGAACCATTTTGAGTAAAATGATGCTTCATACTTAAATGCTTAAGCACACATCTACAAGAAGTAAAGGCAGTCTCATACACATCCACAATCCTGTTATTGCCCCTAATAAAGCAATAGTGCTCTATTAGTCTAATTCCCTATGATGAATGGGCATATTTTAAAAGATATGAAATGGAGGAGCTATGCATGGATCAGAGAACAACTTAAAAGGCATTTAATTGGATTTTTGCAGGACATTTATTTTACATGTTAATGGTTTTCTCACAGGAGAGGGAATTGGCTGGTAGACCCAGTTAAGGGAAAAAAGACCCACAAGATTCAAAAGTGAGAGAGGGGTGAGGGAGGAGACTGAGGGGTGGAAAAACCTGCAGACAGCCTGAGAAGAGGGAACCTTGTTTGCACATTTTTTGGTGTAAACTGATCAGCTGGCAGCTAGCAGAGGCCACTTTGGATACATTGTCTTTGAGCAGGTTAACTGGGGTATCAAAGAAGACTGTTTAGTTGTTTGTGGCTTCTCTGTAAAGACTTAGGAGTGTGGTTGAGGCAGCAATGTGGCAGGCTGGCTGTGTCATGCTTGCTGGAGTGCCTCTGTCCACTCTAGAAAGTTGCCAGCCCTAGGTCACACAGCCGGTGAGTGGCGGAATTGGGGTTTGACCTCAAGTTCTCAAGCTGTGTCTTTACTATTTCCCCTGCTAGAATTTTGTAAGTTGGAAAATCAACATTAGCTTTGAAAGTATATCCAAGCACATTTGATGGTCTGATTTCTGAGGGAAGCAGGACAGAGATTTTGATCTGCCTTCCATAGGGGAAGAGATGAAGACCCAGAGACGTTAAGAAACTTACTCAAGGTTACACAGCTTTTTGAACCCAAAGCAGATATTTACAGATCTGTAAAGTTCAAAGGAAATAGTGGGACACAAGTTGAATGCACTGACTTGAAATTTCCCGCATAAAATTTCATACTTCGGCCTAGTACCCTTCCCCGTGGATCTTCTAACCCTCTCGCAGAAGGACCATCCCCTGGGATGTGATGCCTCCCCCACCTCCATCCCCCGACCCCCTGCCTTCTGTGGCCTAAAGGAGCTGTTTTAAGAGGACCTTCATTTAATACAGAAGGCTCAAGTAGGTCTCAATAGTCCAAGACAGTCTTTAGAAAGAGTTCCCTTTGCATCTAGAAAGATTAACCAGGTGCATTCATTTCTTCCAGAGGATGCTATCATCCAGAAGATTGTGGAATTGCTCCAGAGAGTGGGGGACCAGTGGGAGGAGGAGGTGAGGAGCAAACTGTCTGCATAGATGCTGCCTTCCCTCCCCCTCCTCCTCGCTCCAGCCCCAGCTGTCCTTCCAGGCCTTAGTGTTCCCCTGCTCTGGGTTCTGTCACCGCCCTCGCCTGGGGCCACCCTGAAGCCCTTGGCTCCTCAGTTGCTTCTCGGGGAGCTTTCCCGTCTCCTCAAGGTCAGGGGCCTGACTCAGTTTCTCTAATTTCCCCCACAGCAGCGTCAAACCCCTCAGCCAGAGGTGGCTCTGCAAAACCCAGCACTAGTCTTTCAGAAGAAATCCCAAGAGAAAAAGTCTAGCCTCAAGAGAGCCTTTTCTCTTAAGAAATATGCCTCCGAAGAGCCCAAGAGAGCGGGGGCTGCAGATGTTTCCAGCACAGAGTCCCGGCCGCCCAAGAGGCCCAGCTTTCTGCCCATGTGTGTCGGGGGCCATCGGCTCTCCAGCTCCAGCAGCCCTGGTGAGCAGGCTCACAGTTACCATAGCAACACCACAGCTGCCTCCAGCTCTCCAACCTTCCTCAGGGCTGGAATTGGCCATTTTAAGAGCTGCCATCTCAGTTCTGACTTTTGCTCTGCCCTGAGCAGTGTGGGGAGGGCTGTGTGGAGGAGAAAAGGGATACCAGAAGGTCACCTCCTCACATGAAGCCTTACCATCTAGGCAATCCAGCTAAGCCCTCAATGGAAACTGTGTTCAGGGATTCCCCTGACCATCCTCATCTCTCCCCAGCCTCAGCTTCCACCCTGGTAGAGGGTAGCATGTGCGGTAAGGAACTGGAGCTTAAGAGGCAGGATATCCGGGTTCCAAGCTGTACTTTCTGTATCGTTCCCCCTCTTGTGCCTCAGTTTCCTCACCTGTAAAACAAGACACTTCCCTGCTGTGTGTCTATACTCAAGTCAGTCCTCACAGCCATTATATGAAGTACACCTTATTATCCCCGTTTCACAGATGAAGGGACTGAGGCTTAGGAAGGTAAAACAATGTGCTAATGGGTAGTCACATGGCCCATCAATGATGGAGCCGGAGCTACAGGGAGAGAGGGTCATTCTGGGCATCGGGAGGAACAACAGCCTAGCAGATCATCCTGGCAAGGGGAATTTACATTTTAAAAGGAGGAGGCAATCTTTAATTCCAAAGAGTAGATCCCCAGGGGTCGGATTTCAGGCCACAAAGGGAGATATTTTCAGGCAAGGGGATTCTGGCTGTAACATGTTAATTTGTGCCAGGGCATCAGGCCTTTAATTCTCCAAGCTAAGAGGGTGGAGGGATGAGGCACCAGGAGAGGGAGGAGAGGGGAGCAAAGCCCAGGAACGCCCGCTGTATAGACGTGCAAATGGATTAGAGAGCTTGGTCTTCAGTAGTCAGAGCCATGGCCCTACCCAGCAGCTCCCCTCCACCCAACCAAGGCCTTTGTGTACACTAGCCACAGAGTACATTCTGGCATCTCCGCTAACTTCTGTGCATTAGTTAACACCGTCAGACTGACAAAGCACACCCACCATTTCCTCTTGCTTCTCAGGTGTGGAAGAACCTGAAGTCCAAGAGGCTTTGTCTACAGTCGATGTGGATCACAGTCCCTTCCAGCTTTGCACCCCAGCAGGACGCCGGGGACCTGAAGAGAATCCGCAGCGGGACAGAGCCTCGGAATTCAGTCAGTGCCCTCTCTCCTTTTCTCAGGGGCCCCTTGGAAAACATCTGGCCTGACTCCTCCACTTGCAGAAGAGAAAGTGAACCAGAGAGAGGCAGAGACCTCTCCTTACCTCCCTCTGAGCTCAGCAGGCTGGGGAGGCAGTGCAGGATCCAGAGCACAGGCCCCGAGCCAGAGTACTGTTACTTACCCTGTCTGAGCCTCTGCTGTAAAACCACAGGAGTGATGAAACCTCTTTGGGGAGGCCAACATAAGGAAATGCAAGGAAAGGGCTCAGATGGTATGATCTTTGGGGCCTGGATTTGAATTTAGGCTCTGACCTCTTCCAGCTGTGTGAACTTGAACAAGTTATATCATCTCTGGTCTCAGTTTCCTCATCTGTAAAATGGGGACAATAACAGTACCTACTTCCTAGAGTTGTTGGAGGCTCTAAATGAATCAATGACAATAAAGCATTTTGGGCAGTACCATGAGCAGCTAATAGATGTTATTTGCTGCCATTTATTATGATTATTATTGTTGTTTTGTAGCCCAGCTTGAGAACACAGCCCCAGGAGAAGTAGAGAGGATAGGAAATGGGGTGGGGACCCCAGGAGAGAAGCTGAACCAATGGGAGCTGCCATCACTGTTATTATTCTTCTATCATTGGCAGAGTCATGCCTAGAATCTTATAATCACCGTCAGTTCTGTGTCTGAAGATCAGCTTCCCCTGCGCCCCCTCACCCCCATTCTGCCGTGTTTGCTTTTCACAGAAAATGTGCCCTGAAGGGGAATTAAGACGGGCCCTTCTTCTACTTAGAAGAAGGGGAAGGAGTAGGGTGCAGGAAATTGTGGGGATCAGGGCTTTCTAGATGGCCTGGAGGCACCTTCCCCTGGAGGCAGTTTTCCTCACACCTAACATGGCACATCTGGGCCCTCAGTGGTGAATGGATAAGTGGACAGGTTCCCATGAAACCAGCTGTGCCCTCAGGCCACTTCTGAGGAATCTGTGGTCCCCATGGGTTGGGTCTAGGACAACTTCAAATGCAAGCTCATTAGCGCCCCTCCCTGGAGATCTGTGAGAATCACCCAGGGAGCCACTGGGCCCTAGGAAATGAAGACTGATCATAGAAGAGCTTCCCTCAGCACTCAAGTGTGAGCAACCACTTTGTTCTTTTCTAGAAGAATTTATCCAGAAGATCGTTGCCCTACTCCAAGATGCAGAGGAGCAGGGGGGAGATAAGGTGAGGAAGATGTTCCCCATGTAGACCCTGACCCTCACGATGGACACCCCCACCCCCACCCGGCACAATAACTCCCCTGCCCCTCCCCCAGTTCTACATCTTGCCAGAGCCTGGTTCCAGTCTCTCCTCTTCCGAGTCTCCCCCGGCCACTGCCGGCATACTTGTTTCCCCATCTCTAAGCATCAACCCCTCGTCTCCCTGGGACACATCCTCTGGTTCACAGTGGGTCTCTATTTGTTTCAGGGGCTGCTGGTCTCTTTCCTCAGCTCACTTGTAATCTCCTCAAAGGCAGGGATCCTGACTCAGTTTCCCTTATCTCTCCTGCAGCAACTTCAAGTCCAGGAGCCAGAGGTGACTGTAGAAAGCCTGGCCCCTGCCTGCAGGAGGAAATCCCAAGAGAGAAAATCCAGCTTCAGAAAAGCCTTTTCTCATAAAAAACATAGCTCCAAGGAGCCCAAGAGAGTCGGGTTGGGGACTGCAGGTGCTGCCAGCCCAGAGTCCCGGCTGCCTAAGAGGCCCAGCTTTCTGCCGCTGTGTGTCGGGGGCCATCGGCCCTCCATCTCCAGCAACCCTGGTGAGCAGGCCCAGGGTTGCCATGGTAACAGAGGCTGCCTCTGGCCCCAGGCTTCCTCAGGGCAGGGTTGGCCAGCTGTGTGGTGTCTGAGCAGAGTGAGGGGGTGTGGGAGGGCTGTGGAGCGGAGAAAGCGGGCTGGTTGCCAGCCAGGACCACTCCCCAATACCACCTACCCCGCACTCACACACTTAAACACCTAAAAACAAAGGTGGTGTGAGAGCAGTGCATCTGTTCATCAGCTACATGCATCAGAATCACCTGGAAAGCTGATAGAAAAACAGAGACCCAGGTTTGATGAAGTAAGATACGGCCCGGGCCTCTGTTTCCTCACTGCACCGAAGCATGAGAACCACCGGTGTACAACAATTCCCCTGACATTTACGGACGGCCTGCGGCGTGCCACTTTCATACGTTTTATCTCATTTAGCCTACTTAATCCCTGTGAGGTCAGTCGGTCCTCTAACTTCCATCTGATAGACGGAAAAAGGTTCAGACAGGCCAAGGGCTCAGCAAGCCTCGCAGAGTTATAGGGGACGGGGGCTCGCTCGGTGGGGCCTGTTGGCAGGACTGCTTGTTTTCCTCCCAGACTGTGAGGAGGCCAGGGGGATGGGTGGAAGAAAGAAGAATGAGACTTTTGGAGGACCAAGGAGCGCTGTGAACCCCTCTGAGGCAGGTCCAATGGGGCTAGGGGTTCCCCGAGGAGCCTGGGAAACCAGGACCCCTCTGGAGCCAGTGCCTTTGGACAGCTTCTTGTCAGAACCTGGGTTCAGCGATGTGCTGGTGGATTTGAAACAGGTGCAGACACACTCATACCAACTCCTTTCTGCCCTCAGATCCGGAGGATCTCGAGTTCCATGAGCCCTCGCCTGCAGAAGGGGAGCCAGATGGGTCTTCAGAAGTACCCGCCCAGGCCAGAAGCCACAAGCCAGAAGCGGGACCTCAGCGAGGTGGAGCGAGTGAATCCAGTTAGTGGCACCTTGCTCTTTTCTGGGATGGTGGCCCTGGGGCTTCCCTTTTGCATGGATTTTACAGGTTGAATCCTAGTAGGAAACTGGGAAAGAGGCTAATGAATATCTCAGGAGACTCTAGAAGGGCAGGGGGGAAGACGCGGTTGGCCTTTGAACTGGGGCTGTTGGGGCAGAGTTGCAGGTGGAGAGCCTTCTTTAGGTAAAGAAAACCTGTCTATTCTGCAGATATAAATTCATACCCTCCCCCCATCTCATTACTTTGCCAAAATTGTTTCTTATAAAATTCCTAGCTTGCTCAGGGTCTCACAACCAGTGGTGTACTGGCCACAAGCGCTGGGCAGGGGCAGAGGGTCAGGGGGAAGCCCTGATTTGTAGCATTTGCAGATTTCTGTGGTATAAATATTTTCACAATGGCCGATTTCAAGCTGCCAACAGTTTACAACAATGGGTCCACAAATTTTCTGAATATTTACAACTAACTCTTGGTACAAGCAGCCACTGGCACACTGCCGTTTATAGCCCAGGCAATGGTGCACTCTTGCTCCATCAGTAGCCATGGCATGTCCCCTCCCTGCATTCAGGTTAGCTGTTCCTGGTCCCAACTCCCATTCCTGATCACACTGCTCTGTAGCCTGGGTAACGACATTGGGAGGTCTCAGTTTCCTCATCCATCAAATGGAGCTGAATGCAGTAACAGGTGAGGCTCAGCAGGCCAAAGTCCCTTCTATTTCGATAAAGCAAACCCAGATGAAGCTCTCACATTCTACCCTAGTTTAGGGGAAGATTTTTGTTTGCTCTTCCTAATTAATCTCTGTACTGTGCTTCAGAGACAAAATACTGTCTGTAGTCAATGGATGTGTTATTGCAGAGCTTGTCAACAGTCCCTCAGTCCTTCTTTATTTTCCTTAGAGGAGCTGATCATCCAGAAGCTGGTGGCCCTTCTCCAAGAAGTGGATGGCCAGTTAGGGGACCAGGTGAGGACTGACCCCAAGTTCAATCCCCACCTCTGCATCTGCGTGACTATGGCATGTCCCTTAACCTCTGTGAGTCTCTGTTTTCTCTTTTGCAAAATAGGGGATAAATACCTACTTGCCAAGGTTAGTACATATACAGAAAATGCCAGACATATGGCAAATGAGAAAAATATTAGTTTAAATGAATATAAACCTCATGTAGCTCCCTCTGCCAGCCAGGACCTCCCCTAGTCCAAATCCTCCTTGAAGTTCAGTCCGGGAAGCCTCTTTCCCCAGGTCCGGGCTGCCGGTCCCTCTGATCTTGTCCTCTCCTATCACTCTGCCTTGGCACACAGTTCAGCATTTACATGGTCTCCAATTCTTTCAAGCATTTAGATTTTCCTCCCCTACTAGATAGCCTATAACAGAAGGTTCCCTGCCTTTGAAAACCTTGCAGTCTACTTGGAGAGACCTACACAGATCACTTAGGAAGAGGTGTCAGGAGTGAGGGCAAGTCACAGATGAGTAATTAGTATAGCAGATGCAGTTGGTTCCTTGCCTTAACACCACCTGGCCCAGCTCCTGACGGCCAGCACCTGCATCCTTTTGCCTGAAGACTGGCCCCCAGAGCCATTTTAACACCCAGGTGGTAGGCCAGAATGAGCACTGTCCACCTCCCCAGGAGCAGCCCTCAACCAATGGCAGATGGGAGCTGGTGTATACATATCCTACTCCCTTGCCCCTTGGGGTGATAATTCTGAGCAGTGTGCTCTACATGGGCTCCCAGAGTGCCCTGAGTGGATCAGGAGCTGCCAGCCCAAGTGGGCTGCTGTCCCATTTTTGTCCCAGGTCTCCATTCCCTCATCCATGTTTGCCAGGATCATTTATCACCTAAATGAGTTGCATCCGAGTCCTGGTCTCTGGGTCCACCTCTGGAGAATCCAACCTCAAACATTTAGGTATTAAGATGAGGAGGCTTAGGGTGAAAACTGAAATTCATCCAACATCCACTCTGCCCAAGACATTACGTAAACTATCTCATTTAATCCCCTCCCCCCAGCAACAATGGTGGTGGTAGGGATATTATTACTTCCATCTTATACATGACCAAACAGAGGCTCAGAGAGTTCACACAGCTAGTAAATGCGATTTAAGCATCTATTATCTAAATCCAAAAACCTGCATTTTTTTCTCCCCTCTGTGTTGAGCTGCTTGGAGCTGAAACTTGCAGAACAGATTCTGAGAGGCTACGGGTGATGGAGGAACTTAACAAGGGATGCTTGTCTCAGGGACGATGAGGCGCCCAACCTGGCTGTATGGCATTGGGGAGGGGGCAACTGATGGGAGGGAGCCACCTGCCAGCAACACTGATGGCCTGCTTTCATTTCTGCTTGCAGATCAGGCGACACCCCAGCTTTAAGAAATTTTTTTACAAGCTCTCAGACTCCTCCCTCAGAAAGCTGCTAGCCACCCTGCGCAGCCAAGAGACCCCTTCCACCGAGTCGGACAGGAACCTCACCAAGAGTCCCTACCCGTTTGTCTTTGGCCTGGCTAACAAATGTTCTGTCAGCAATTGCAACGTCACCCTCAGCCTCGTGGGCCTACACTACAGGCAACCCAGTTATAGCCAGTTCCCATATGGGGAGGCCCAGCAGGTGAGAAAGGGCAATTGGACACAAAGGGTAACAGGCTCACAATCACCACAGGATCTCCTTACTGTCCTCTCCCCTCCCCTGCTCAGATCAGGACTTTCGGGGTCCAGCTCAAATGCCACCTCCTTATGGAGGCCTTCTGAGACAACCACAGTGGACTTTTTCTTTTCCAAAACTCTCTCTGGCTTTATCTGATAATTAAAGCACCTTCTTTATTTGGCTCTGATCTCCAGTTTGGATATGCCTTTTCATACTTCTAGATATCAGTATGGAATATTGGACTGGGTACTATCTTAGCTTGCCCTCTTATTTCTTGGGCTCTGCTGCTTGCCTTCCCAAACTGAGACTGTCATAGAAAAAAAAAAAAGAAGAAGAAAGTGAAGTAAGATTACATATCAAATAAGGGGTGGCTGAGGTAGATGAGAAGGATCCCTGGGCTGTTTGGTTCTGGAAGGCTTCCAAGAAGCCATCCTTCACTGACCCTGCCTTGATTGATTACGAAGAGCCACTCTTCTGCTGTCACTCACTCTTTTGACTGGTTTCATGCTATTCCCAATAACCTCTGTTCCCTGAGGCTCTGGGATGGTCTCTATAGAGATAATAACTATCACTATTTTTTTTTAATCTGAGTTTTCTGGTGGACTCTGATAAAATTCTCCCCACCCTTTTCAAATTCACTTAAATGACCAGATCTATAGTGCAGAAACTACTGAGTGAAGTTGTGATTTTCAAGGAGTGAAATGTCCTGTTGGTGTTGGACAAATAGGACCAGAACTTCTATATCCAGAAGGTCCCCTGGGAAACCAGACTTTTATTGCAATGGTGTCACCGTCAAACTCTTAGACTTCCCCTCCTGGAATTACCTTTAGAAGCCATGTGACACATCTCTCAAGAAAGCTGGTCTTAATTCCTGACACTTGAACTTTTCATTCGAATGGTCTGTCCTGCATTGGCTTGTTTTCCTGGTGGGAGCTCCTCGTAACCTTAGACCTCTCGTTTCTCAGACTCATTGTCCTCTCCTAGAGAATGAAGATAATTTGCTCTCCAAGATGGGTTAGGTAATAGCTTACAGAGGGATCTGAGTTCTTTGTGAAAGATATTAGAGACACTTCAGCTCTGACATCTGCAGTAGCCCTCACTCCATCTACTGGTTTTACTATTCATTCATTTATTCACTCATTCATGTGACCAGTAGACATTCAGAGCCTCCTATGTGCCTAGCTGTGCAAGGTGCCATGAAGGCAGGTGGAAGGTTCAGCTAGTGGAAAAGACAGAATGTTCACTGATGACAAAATTAAATATCAATTAAATGACAAATTAGCAAAAACTGAAGTCAATAAAGCAAGTTGGTTCTGGGAACCTTCCAGGAGGTAGCAGGCATTGATTTTGACCTTTGAGGATGGAGAGGCTGTAGATGGGAAGAAAGGAAGAAGAGGACACTGCTGGTAGGAAGTACTGTGTGAGCAAAGACCCAGAGGTGGAAGCCAGTGGGTTCATGAGAAGTCTGCTGTTATCAGGGTGGGACCCACACATAATTGGGCTGTGGTTAAAACCTGTGTTCTTTTTTCATCCCAGAACATCACAAGCTCTCAGACCCAAAGTCCAGATTGAAAACTGTGCTTTGCATTCAAGTTCCCTCAAACTATCCAAACTTTGGCGGCTTTAGCCAGGAAACCCTGAAGATGCTCCGTGATGTCCCAATCCAGTGCTACATAGACAGGACTGAAGACAATAGCTGGCAGCCATTCTGCATTCATGCATCACTGTGGGCTTCTTGAGACAGAGAATGCACAAAGTGTTCTTCCACAAACCTGGGGTCAGAGGCCATTGGAGGACATAGCATTGGACTGGGATTTAGGAGACCAGGATTCCACCTGCTGATCTGTCCCAAACTTGCTGCAAGACCTTGTACATGTCCCATGTGCCCTCTTTTCTCCAGACCTTGGATTCTGGGCCGGATTAGTGACCCATCAGACCCCTTCTGGCTCTATTATGCTGAAGTCTCTCTAAAGCGAGGTACTAAGTGCTTTCACTCTGGTGAAATACACTCACCCCAATGAGCTTTAAGTATTGACCAAATGAATAAGTGGACGAATGCGTGAATGGACGAATGATCAAGGGGAAGAACCCCTGAGATCCAGACAATTCTGCTAGGCATTCGCTGGGAGGCCTTGGTCCTCAACCGGAATTGTGCAACCAGTGGTTCTAACTCTGAACTGGGAGTTAGGGAGGAAATGGGGGAGCTACCTCAACAGTCATTGGTCCAGAGCATTGGACCAGGAGTCAAGGCCTTTGCATTCTGGGGCCAACCCTAGTGCCTAATGCCAATTTATGTGCCCTTATTTTTTTATCATGTAATTTTCATGATCTACCAGGGCTAATGATATGCCCTCATCACATAAGAGGCCTTTTGACATTTTTCAGATGTTAGTTTTAAATGAGTCTTAGTTTTAAAAATAAATTTTTGGTTAATCTCTCACCAGAACATCCACATGCACTTAACAGATGCGTATCTATGTATAATACATAATTATCCAGTTGACCCAACAGTGCTTTATGCCCATATGAATATGTAGATCCTCCCAGGAACTCTGCAGCCTCCAGATGGGGAAGACCTATAGACTGGGGACAACTGGTCTCTCAGAATCCTTCCAACTCTGTATCCTATAATTCTACAATCAGAGAAATGTTGATGCTTTGCAGCTCTCCTATCTCATGGGGGTTTGCCAAAAGCCAGTAAAATGAATGTGAAGAGTTCTGAAATAACATAGTGCTGTGTCTATGTATGTTGTTATTTTTATTACAGCTACAGTCTGGGTAGTTTTCAGGAAATGGGGGAGAGCTTCAAGCTGGATGGCTATGGATGGTTGCAAGAGTGTGCACTGCTCAAGAGCACATACCCCAGGAAGTGCTATTCACTTCCAAGACATTGTGAATTTATAGATTTATGATGACGATTTTCCAGCTCATAGCAGTAAAGTGTCTTGAGACAGGGGCTTCTTTTTTTTTTTTTTTTTTGCACAAAGGTGAGGTTTTGTCTTCTACACAGCTGAACAGTTTCAACAACTTGGCTCAGGTGGACAATTTCCCATGTGTCCATTTTCTACATGCATGCCTGACAGCTATGAACAAGGGCTATGAGCCCTTGGACATTACCTGGAACACGAGGCCATGGGGAGAGGGTGTTAAAACCTGGATGGCAAACTCATTCTTGTTACTTTCAGTAGACACTGTCTTGCTGTGTTGAACTTGTGGTGAGCACCATTAGGTGGGGCTGGGGAGGGGGAAAAACCAAGGGCAGAGAGGCCCTGGGCACTTAGATGGGACTGCCCTCAAGTCTGAGGCAACATTTTAGATTCTGAAAGTCCTTTAGTGTTATCGCTGCTTCTGAGAAGTGGTGGGGGGAGGGGGGAGGTATTTATGGATTGATTTTACATGATGTTCAGGAACGTGGTGCCAAAATGTGAAGGATTAGAATCCTTCTGAAATGAGGGTCAGGAACCTTCTGCACATGGTTTCTTATTTGGAATGATATTCTTTAAGCTGTATAAGTATTTGGTGAGTTTCTGATGCTGGCATCTGAGTCTCATTTTTGTACTCTGTTATTTGAGCAAATAAAGAAATTGATTTGCACAAAGGTCTTACTTGAATTGGATTATTCACCATGGAGGCAAAATGGGGCCACCTACCACATCTAGGCCAGTCTGATGCCTGCTTTAGGAACGCATTTGAAAGCTGGGCAATTGACATCAGGACATGACCGAATTTCTCACCCTGAGAAGTCAGGAGACTTAGTGGGTGAGTCAGAGATAATGGGGTCAGGGGACAGCTGGCTGAGTTGGGGTGCTAGCTGGGTTACAGGGAGGGCTGTGCTGTAGGTGTCTGTGATTTGCTTGTTTAGAAGGCCAAGGAGTGTCCTGGCCTTGACTCTGGTACTGGTGAGAGCTCCCAATTTCAAAGCACAGTGACTGGCACATCAGGGAAAAAAAAATCCATTAGTGTCAGTTTAAAAAAAAAAGGGAGGAAGGAATTATTAGGGTTGCCAAATTTAGCAGAGAAAAATATGGGTGGCCCAGTTAAATTTGAATTTCAGATCTACAACAAATAATTGCAATGCTGGGGGCATACTTATACTAAGTAATTATTCTTTGTTTATCTGAAATTCAAATTTAACAAGGTGTCCTGTATTTTTTTCTGGCAACCCTGGAACAAATGCAAGAACAATTCTCTTAATTACCTCAAAATGGGGAAAAGGGAAATTAAAGAAAATGAAGGAAAATACGTAAGAGGATTTATCGATACTCATATAACATAAGAGCGTCTGAGCTTTAAATTAAATTTACATGTGTCCATCTCAGGGGCCACATTTCAGGGCTGTCTTCCACCCTGTCCACTGGGATTTGCATTCTAGGATTTGTTAAGCAAATGCACCAGAGGCCTGTGGGCAGCCCAGGCTTCCGTACTGGGCCTGGCTGGGGCTAGAGGTTATTCACACTCTGCAAAGAAGTGAGCCAAATTTTTTCTGGACAGGCTGGAAAAATTGAGGCTGAAGGTGTCTTTCTCGTGGAACATTTTCACTACAGGTGTGCAGAGGAGACAGAGTCTGCTCTCATTCGGGCTGGGGCTGGGGGTGGGAAGGCACGTGTGGCCTCCCATTTCCTCTACAATTACAGCAGGACTCGGGGAAGGCTGGGGCGGCCCGCTCAAGCCGGCCGCATCACATAATCTCTGGGGAACTTGTAATGGCTGCGAGTCAGATCAGATCAGCTCCACCAGGGTAGTCCCACGCGTGACTCAAGTGGAGTCTGCTGGTTCCAAGCCAAGCCTTTCGTACGCTGTACGAACAAAAACAGACAACAGAAGAAGACACCACAGGAAACAGAAATGCCTCAGCCCTGTCTGACCCCCCCGAGTTCTGCCTTGTGGGCGAGGTCCTAGGAGCTGGGTTGAGAGGAAGGCTTGAGCCCAGCTGGCTGGGAGGAGGCTGTGCTGCACCCTCTTCAGTGCCCATTTGTGTTGACGTCCATCTGTCTGTCCAGAAGAGGGTAGTAGAAAGACCACAGGGAAGCTGGGCGGGTGTTTAGACCAGATGGCTCCTGCCCGGGGGAAGCAGGACCCACTAGACCGATAGGCTTGGCAGTGGGTGGCACCTCGGTCCCTGGAAGGCCTGGGGTGAGGGGAGGGTGTCTGAGAGCTGCGAGGAGAAGGCTCGGTCTCACCGGCGTCAAGTTCTCTCCTGTTCCAACTCAAATTTTCTCTCTCGGCTCACAGCTTCCTAGAAAAAGGACACAAATCATCACTTCTAAGTTCTGCATCTAGGACTTCCCTCCCCTTATTTCCACTGAGATCAGTCCCCACAGTTTCATATGCCTTGGGCATCCTGAGCAAGTAGGTAAGCTGATGGATGAAAACTGGAAATCTCAAGGGTTCACTTTATTTTACAAGGGTCTTTTGCAAAAGGAGAATTCCATTTGCAGAGCAGGAGTTGATAAAAGAGTGTTTGAAACATTATTTGATGTACAAAAGTCTGGCTTTTCAGGAAGGGAGAAGAAGAAGAGTGGCCTCCAGGGTGCTGAGTACATTTGTGCAGGCTGCACACTGCACAAGGATACACTGCTGATAAAAAAGGGTAGGCAGTTCATAGACATATTTATTTCATATGTTATTTGTACAGTTTTCTGAATGTTATGTATACATTTTGTAGCTTTGTGTGTCATTCATACAGTTTTCTAGCAGTTGGCTGTCAATTGCTCAAACAAAATCAGTCTATCACAACAACCTTCCAGCTGGTGATCAAGCTCTCGAGGAAAGAGTGCTGTTTTCTTAGTGCACAAGGCATTACATGGGCTAATGTTGGCTTTGACTGTGACCAGGAAGAGGCAGGTAGGGGCAGAAAGGAAGCTGAGCTGATGGGGCTCAGGGGTCACCACAGCATCCCTGGACAGAGCAGGGGCACCCTGGGGAATTCCACATCTCAGGGCAACTGTATTCCTGGATCTAGCTGGGATGAGGCCTGTAGGTGACCCAGACTGTCTCGGAAGTGGAGAGCAGAGAGAAAGCTGGGTGGACAGGGAGGAGACCTGGATGTGCGGAGTCGAGGAAGCACATATGAAGGGAAATGAGACAAAAAGGGGGAATTGGAAGTCCTGATTTCTAAGCCTTCCTCTACCTGCTCTGTGACCCTGGGCAAGTCACTTGCCCTGTCTGAAAAACTGCAGGAAGACACCTGCAGAGTCCACCTTGAAGAAATGGGTTAGTAAAAAAATCAAAATTTGGCTTATATGGGGCTCACAGTTTGGCAAATTAGTTGATTTTACTCTTTTGTCTTTGGTCTAAAGTTCAATTTGGGGATAAACTCTTGAAAGTTGGGGATTGAGTTGAATTTGTCTTTGATATCCTGAGCCCAGAAGAGTGCTTGGCACTAATACGGTGCTCAATAAAGGTTAAGTGATTATCAATGACAATTTAATATAGCCAAAGTCTTTAAGAAACAGGCTTAACATTGGTCAGGACCTTTAGCTGAAGGTTCGCAAAGTTAGGAGCTCTACACGTTGAGTCACATGGGCACCCACCTGCCTAGTCTGGTTTTTAAGTATAGTTCTATTCAGAAGCTGAGAGGCAGCTAGTTAACCTCTAGGAGTTATATAACCATAATATCTACTAATTTTTGAGTGCTATTACACACCTTCCACTCTGTGAAACACTTTACATGGTTGATCTTTTTAAACCCTCACAACAATCTTATGAGTTGGTATTAGCCCTATTTTAGAGATCAGGAAACAGAGGCTCAGAAAGACCAAGCATTGTAAGCACACTCACTGGGTGAGACTGTGGAGGAGCAGGGATTTTATGTTGAGTGAGTCTGACTCCAAAGCCCAGCTCCTCATCCCCACCCTCACTGACTCCCCTTCTACCTCTTGTAATCTTTCTGCAGACCGTTCCCAAGGCCCGCTCCTCCCTGTGTTATTAGAAACATTAGTCATACTCACTGCATTTTGCTGCCTGGTTTTTTTAGATCATGGATGTCTTGGGAAGCCTCTTCTGGTGCCACTTGTCTTTTGCTCCTCTTGAATACCTTGCTCACCCAATTGCAATCTTCAGCAGGGCTCTCCCTGGGCAAATAGATGACATAATGGTTGGTTGATGACCTGTCTTGTGTACTCCACTATTAGGGCCCTGCTCTGGTTCAAAAGGTAGACAGGTAGACACCAATGCTATGGTTCTCTACCCTGGCTGGACATCAGCATTCCCCAGTGAACTTTTATTTTGTAATCAATGTATATTTACCTAAGTAACATCAGGCCAACTAGTCAGCTGAAACTCACACTTTTTTTTTTACATTTTTATTGATTCATAATCATTTTACAGTGT